GTTTCAACGGTTGCCAGCCAGATCTACTTATTTTCAGTTTATTAGCTAGTATCTCTATCGCCCCCTGGTGGCGAGCTGGCATGTGTAAATCAAGATGGTCTGTTACTTTAATTTAAATTATCTGATCAGTTTTAATTCGTTATTAAAGATATAATTGGCATACGGTGTTTTTAAAGTCAGACCATAAATCAAATAAATTAAAGCTCTTGATTAACCTTTAGGAGTCCTTTAAAAAAAAATAAACCATTTGTTCCTATAGCAGAAAATGCCACCTTCGGAAAAATGAGTAAATCTTATATCAATATTTTCTTTCCATTGAAAGAGTCGAATTTTTAGAACTATTCAGCTTGAAACTACATTAACGGCATATTACTTATTTGGGGGATTTACCCTTTAAAGGCAATAGTGTACAAACACCTGTTTTTTATTAAAAACTGTTTTTAAAGTAAACGAGTCACGACTGTTCCTTTAAATTGAGTTAATAGTATAGTCCTTAACAAAAAAATGTTTATAAAATACATATAACTGTGTGTATGTATGTCATTATGCCTTTCAATTACATTAGATTGTTAAAGCTTATTTGACACCAGATGTTGCATTATTTGATTTTTCACTGTTAAGTTCAATAAGTTTATCTGTCTTTAATCTCCGGTCTATATTGTGGGTGGGGGGGTTAAACTGACCCACCACCCCACTCGTCCCATCTCGCCGCCACATTAACGTGTCAGACTGTCCCTAGAGCATAAAGGAGGACAGACACTTAGAAGTCCACGGGAGACGCTGCTTTACATTTCCAGCCCCTGACATCAAACATAAGACGGAATATATATATGGTGTGTGGTGTGGTGTGTTGTGTGGTGTGTGTGCGTGGTTGTGGGTAAAGATGTGGGCGCACCTGAGGGACGAGTGGAGATTCAATCCTGGGATGCAGGTTTGAAGGAGAGAATCAGACAGATTTAATACTTGACAGTGAAAGCGACCCGCTGGGTGTGCTGGTTGAGATCCGGCCGTCCGTGGCCACGGCCTCCGGTGTGTCTGATGCTTGGGACGGTGGCGGAGTGCCATCGGCTATCCCGGACAAAAAGAGGTCCGGATGAATTCAAATCAAAACAAAAGCCGGATTTAAATGAGAAAAGGAATGAGATGAGAGTAGAGGATCACTGAAGCGTCAGCGGGGCTGGCGCCTGTCCTTGCGGGTCCGTGCGGGCACTGTAACGCTGAGGAGAACGCAGCATCAACACTGATCGTTTTCACTTTGTGCTCCTAGTAAGACGTCAGGATGTCCTAAAAGCGTCAAGTTTTCAAAATAAAGCGCCATTCCGTCCCGTTTCAAAGAAGAGTCGTTTTGACTGGTTACGTCAGTGGTGTCTTGGTTTTAATGTTTATCATTTTAACTGTTACAATTGAAGATTCTGAACAATACCCAATTCACTGTCTGGTTCAGGGCAGAAACAACTGATTTAAAAAGAAAAAACCTGTCAACTATCGTGTTTGTAAAATATTCAAACAGAACATATATTAATCAGAACAAATACGACAGAGAATTAATAAAGGTCTGACAATGTCAGAAAAACTCATCTCTCATCAATATTGCCAAGAATCATCTAAAGAAAACTTCAATATTAAGTAATCACCTTTTTACAAAACAACAACACGTTTTCTGATTTCACTATTTGTTCGTTGGTACACGCTCAGAATAATATGAAACAATCTGATCCAGCTTAAACAAATGCAGGAATGTTGTGTCAAACAAGCGATTTGTTCTGAATTGATTTATTTTGAAGGCAATGCCCGGTTTCCGGTCTCTTCTGTTACGTTTCTGACTTCGACCCCACCTGTGAACAAGCAGCTGACGCATGCCGTCCACGAGTCAACCTGGACAGATTGTGGTTGTGCGCGCCACGGCAGCGGCTGGCGCGCGCGCCGCGGAACAGCACGTGCTGCATATAGCTACAGAGTCCGTTGAACACAAAATAAAATCATTTAGTAAACGATATTTTAATTTATTATTTTAAAGTCATTGTTCTTTATCTTTGTGTTTTTTTATACTTTCTAAAAATGGATAACTGTTACTCTTTTTTCAATTCAATTTTGTATCATTGCATTTTTCACTTTAATACTCTCAATAAAGTTTTTATTAAACATTAAATTACTGCTGGCCGACAGATAATAATATTCAATAAATAATAATAAAGCATTGTTTATTATTATAAAAAAAAAAGAAAAACCAGATTTCTGTTTAGGCGAGTTTTGTGAATTGCCATGTTATAGTGTTTAGTATAAGTTCTTTCCTTAAGAGAGACGCATCTATTTATAATAATAAATATAAATAATAAGAACGTATAATAATGAAACCTGTATTATTATTAACGTTATTTATTGTGAGGTGAAGTGGTGCGAGTGGAGAGTGAGGTAAAGGTTGTTAACAAGTGATCGTGAAATCAGGTAGTGGTGAGGTGTGTGGAGTGTCTGTGATTGGTCGTCAGGGGCAGTGGCGCGGAGAAAGCTGGAGGGCGTGTGTGATTGAAGCGCGCCTGTGGCGTGCCGGTGCGATGGAGCGGTTCGGTGGTCGGCGCGGGTTGGGGGCGGTGTGGCGGGGCGAGCTGCGTGATGCGCGAGAAGAACGTGGCGGAGAGGTGGTAGATAGAGCGCGGGTCAGCCGGACGCGTTGTGTCGACGCTCACGTCGCGAGACTTTGTCGTTAGCTCGTGTTCACTCGAACAGCGCGGCTATGACGTGCTGTAACGGCTAACGCATTCATGGCTCGAGCTAAAACACAGAACAAAAACAACAACAAACATGGATCGGTAGAAGTTACATGCGGGAGAAGTAGAGAATGAGGGGGTTTAAATCGCTGTTATCAACATGACTCACGACAGACGCTCTTTGCGAAGGTGGCATTTTTCTGCTATAGGAACAAATGTGTGATTTTTTTTTAAAGGAACTCCTAAAGGGTTAATCAAGAGGTCCTTTAATTTATTGTGATTTATTGTCTGACTTTAAAAACACCCGTATGCCCAATTATATCTTTAAATAACGAATTAAAACTGATCAGAACATTTAAATTAAAGTAACAGAAACCATCTTTGATTTACACACTGCAGCTCGCCACCAGGGGGCGATAGAGATACGTCAGCTAATAAACTGAAAATAAGTAGATCTGGTGTCAACCGTTGAAACTTTTTCTTTAATTTGAAGTTTTATAGCATTTTTATAACAAGAATAAACAATAAAAACCCAACAGAAACAGAAGAAAGCAGAGATTTAGTTTCACTATTGTTCCTTAAACATCTCGTCTTTACAGTTCACTCTTCTCACTTTCAGCTGGAGTTGGTGTCTCTTACGTTATTAATCCAGTTATTAATACTCAACTGTCCCCAAGGAGACACAACCTCGGTGATCTGGGAAGTTCACATCCCCATTTTAACTTTAATTAGAACTTATTTGGTACAGAACTGCTCCAAACTTTTCCACCACGTTCCCAAAACTCACATTATTCCCACAGCAGCCACACTGCGCAGAAGTGTCTATCTATAATCTATGATCATCTATATTCTATAATCTCCGTTGCTATCAGTGAGTAAACTGGCTATATTTTATGTATATTTCATATTATATATTCAATGTATAACAGTAGAACTGCTGATACACTGTTATTATCTCCTGTGAATATTGATCAGAGATGAGTTTTCCTGATATTTTTAGGAACTTTTTATACAATTCTCTGTCTGTAGTATGTAGTTTCTTTAGTTTTAATAACTTCACAGACTTAAAAGGCTTCTTTGTTGACATATTCAGGGTTTTCTTCTCCCTGACTCTTGGCTGGAAAAGTGGAAGGTGGCTCAGTGGATACAGCTTGTGTTCAGGTCTTTAAATGCTCCGACCCGCAGTTTAGATCTTAAATAAAAATCTAAACTTTAAAAACTTCTCCACTGAAATGAACTAAATGCTGAGATAAAGGCCTAAACTGAAGTTCTGGCTACCCCTCTCTCCTACAGGCTGAGGAGGCCCCCCCATCAGACCCAGCTGCCTTAACCGACCTTCGACCTGTTCTCTGACAACCCAACCCAGAGGTCAGTGCAGAACCACAGGACTCGTCATCATCATCATCATCGAGCCTCCAGCGATGAGGGTCGAGGTGGTCTGATAAAAACCCAGGAACCTGAAAGATGACAGAGAGCCGGAGGAGGAGGAGGGAGCTGTGAGACGTCTCTGCCATGACCCAGTAACAAACTCCACATCCAGTCCAGCACCAGAAACCAAAAACACCACCAGAACTTCCAGCTTCCTCAGAGGCAACAATGTAGAAGAAGACAGCGGAGACGATTGTCCAGCTTTCACCATCAAAGACCACCAGGATTGTCTTCAACAGCGTCGTTATGTTTTTATAACTATGGAATTTAAACTCCTCACAAACACAGACAGCGAGTAAGATTGTGTTAAAAAAGACTCAACAACCACATTAAGATTGTTCCAAACGAGTCGATCCGACAGAACCGAACAGGAACGTTATTTCAGGAGCCAAAAGCGGAGCGAGGACGCCACGATGACTCATCTGCACGCCGGACTGAGCTCGGAGACGACGGAGAAGGCTCGCTTAGAGCTGAACGAAAACCCGGATACGCTGCATCAGGACATCCAGCAGGTAACCGGCGTCATATTCTACCTGGGTTAGATAATGTTAGCACAGGTTCTCCGGTTCCTTCCAGCCAAGAACCAGCAAACAAATGATATACTGTCACTGGTTGAAGACATAAATCATTAAAGTCCAGGTGAAATGAAAAATGTCCTTTTAACCCTTTAAGATCACATCCTTATTGTTATATTTATCCTATATTCAACCATTTATGCCAAGAAAATTCACAAAAACTCAATTTCTTTGTGTTTTTATATCGAAATCCGATCATTTTGTCTTCCTGTTAAACAAAACTAACTGATTTCAACCAATAATATCAACTTTTAGCGACAAAGAGTGAAGATTTATTCGTTAGTGGATTGTTTCTGTTATTAAACGGTATTAAATTATTAAAATCGATCCAAAAGTTCTGCATCAAGAAACAAAATGTCTGCACTGAAGCTGTATTGATTACAGTTTGTTATTTTATACAGGTCTTCAATAAAGCTCACATAGCCGATACCGATCACTTAACAAATGCATTGATACCGATCGGATCGGGACATTCCTAGTTGTTGGAGCATTATGGTTCACACAGGTTCCACACACAATACTTCTCAGTGGAAACATTAAATTAAATAACTTTTCAAATAGAGCAGGTCTAGACCGAACATTATTTACAGAGACTCAACAGTTCCCACCATGAGCAAGACCTTGGCGACGGTGGCAAGGAACAACTTCCTGTTAAGAGGCAGAAACCTCGAGCAGTTTCTCTAAAACCTGCAGCTCCTCTAACGTCCACTGGAGGCTCCACCAGGGGGCCACACTACTGTATAATGTGAGACTTATGTTTCTGTCTGTGCTGACTGAAGGTGCGGGACATGATCGTGACGCGACCGGACATCGGTTTCCTGCGGACGGACGACGACTTCATCCTCCGTTTCCTGCGAGCCAGGAAGTTCGACCAGATGGAGACCTTCAGGCTGCTGGCCCAGTACTTCCAGTTCAGACAGCAGAACCTCGACATGTTCCAGAGCTTCAAGGTCCGTCTTTAATACTTTAATGTGCCTTGTTATATTACAACGGGCCAGACTAAGAGAATTTTTTTGGGGGGGAAATTAACGGAATCAACCAGTTGTAACTTACGAGCATCAAAGTTCGTGAACATTACCGAGAGATGAAAGTCGTAACATTGCGGAATAAAGTCGCAATTTTATGAGAACTGTCAGCCTGTTGGCTCAACCCGCAAAACTGTTTAACGATGAAAATGATCAATACGTTAGTTTACCTGTTGACTGTAGTATGACTGAGACAAAACAGCCCGCTGCGCTGGGCTCCAGGGCTGAGGCTGCTGATTGGTTGAGCTGCTCACGTCAGATCTTGATAACTCTATCAAAGCTTTTCCTCATTAAAATAACTTTTTTTCTTGTATTATTACGACTTTATTCTCGTAATATTGCGACTTTATTCTCATAATTTCCCCCAAAAAAGTAAATAAAAAATTCTCTTAGTCTGGCGCTAATACTCCGTCGTATTATATAAACTCCAAACTTTAAATAAAAATACGGATAGTTTTGGGAACTAGCAGTGTATTCATTTCAGGTGGACGACCCGGGTATTAAGCGGGCACTGATGGACGGTTTCCCCGGCGTACTGGAGACTCCAGACCAACATGGCCGAAAAATCCTCATCCTGTTCGCCTCCAACTGGGACCAGAGCAGGTAACACACACACACACACACACACACACAGAGTAACACACACACACACACA